ATTGGACAAATTGACCGTTGACAGCTGTCAATACACTGTCAACGAAGGATAGAAAAGTAAATATTATCTGTTGACATTGAGAGTTTGGGTTCTTGAGGTCGGTGAATTCAATTCTCATGCCAAATTGACAGTTGACAGCTGTCAATTAACTGTCAACGAGGAATATAAAAGTAAATATTCTCTTTTCACATTGATAGTTTGGGTTTTTGAGGTCGTCGAATTCAATTCTCATGTCAGATTGGACAAATTGACCGTTGACAGCTGTTAATTCACTGTCAACGAGGAAAGATAATATTTACTTTTCTATTCTTCGTTGACAGTGAAGTGACAGCTGTTAACTGTCAATTTTTCCAATCTGAGATTAGAATTGAATTCAGCTCCCTCAAAATCCCAAACTCTCAATGTCAACAGAGAATATTTACTTTTCTATTCTTCGTTGACAGTGTATTGACAGCTGTCAACGGTCAATTTGTCCAATCTGTCCAATCTGACATGAGGGTTGAATCCAGTGACCTCGAAAACATTACCCTATATATTAGAATAATTAAAATATGCTTTTGACATCTGTAAATAGTATTGAAAATGAATAGTTTTGCAACAGGTCAGGGGAGCTTTGGCAGCTCCGTAGCTGCCAAAATATTCATTTTGGCACTTTGTGCCCATGGAGAATTTTGTTCAGGATGACAAAATCTACAACATATCAAAAATTCAGACAATTTGACAGAAACCCAATTTCCATAAGATTATTGCGGGGTCCTTTTATGAATTAAATCAAGTTAATAAGAAATATACTGGGTTGACCATTACTCCAAAATTACGCAAGAATATATTTTTTAAATAATTTTTCGTACTCTATTGAATTTAAAATAAAACTGTTAAAACTGCAATGTGCTAACTTTATTAGCTTGATACATTCTTGCGTTATTTTGAAATAATAGTGCGCCTGGTATACGTCTGACATACTGATAATTTATTTAATACATTTTTTATCCAAAACGCTTATTGTAAACCTATCAGAATTCAAAACAATAAAAAGTTCCCAGACACACACCATAAAAGCACGCTTTTAGTTTGATGTTTCGAAATTCGCCTGTGTCCTTTTTACATTTACACCATAAGAACACGCTTCGCATGTCTCACCTACCTGCTAACCGCTACAGATGTAAGCGAGCCTGCCAGGCCATGCGCGCTCTTGTTATACCTACACCCTAATAGTACTGAATGCTTGTTCCACCCACTTCCTAACCACAGCATATGCGAGCGAAGCGAGCGCGCCCGGCCGATGTTTCGAAATTCGCGCAAATTTCGAAACGTCGGCAGGGCGTGCGCTTTTTGAACATATACCTTAAAAGCACAAAATGCTCGTACCATCCACTTCATAACCATTACAGAAGCAAGCGAGCGGAGCGAGCGCGGCCGATGTTTCGAAATTCAAACATCGGCCGGGCGCGCGCTCTTTGAACATATACCATAAAAGCACAAAACGCTCGTACCATCCACTTCCTAACCATTACAGAAGCAAGATAGCGCGCCCAGCCGACGTTTCGAAATTCGCGCGAATTTCGAAACATCGGCCGGGCGCGCGCTTTTTGAACATATACCATAAAAAAGCACGAAACGCTCGTACCACCTACTTCCTAACCACTACAGAAGCGAGCGAAGCGAGCGCGCCCGGCCGACGTTTCGAAATTCGCGCGAATTTCGAAACGTCGGCCGGGCGCGCACTTGTTGCATATATACCATGAGAGCACGACATGCTCTTCCCATCCACTTCCTAACCATTACAGAAGAAAGCGAGCGAAGCAAGTGCGCCCGGCCAACGTTTCGAAAGTCGCGCGCTGAAACGTCGACCGGGTGCGCCTTTACCATCTGTTCATCCCACGTGAGTCCTGACAAGTATAGGAGAGCAAGAGTAGCAAACACACCTTTTTTACATCTAAAACATTCCATGCTTACACATGCGCAGATGATAATACGAGAATATGAGACTTTTCATTTCAATTTGAGCTGTGTCCAGGCCGTTGGAGTCCATGCCGGTCGGTGTAGCTAGGTATGGCGAAGCCGTCACCCTACGAGAAGTCTTTGCTTCGTCTTCTTGTTATATATTCACGGGCTGGCATGCGCATGGAATGGGTTACTAGAATACCACTTTGTCTTCTGTAGTAGTTAGGAGGTGAGTGGGACGAGCGTAGTGTGTTCTTATGGTGTAGATGGAAAAAGAGCGCGCCCGGCCGACGTTTCAGCGCGCGACTTTCGAAACGTTGACCGAGCGCACTTGCTTCGCTCGCTTTCTTCTGTAATGGTTATGAAGTGGATGGAAAGAGCATGTCGTGCTCTTATGGTATATATGCAAAAAGCGCGCGCCCAGCCGGGCGCGCTCGCTTCGCTCGCTTTTGCTGTGGTTAGGAAGTGGATGGAACGAGCATTCAGTACTATTAGTGTGTAGGTGTAAAAAGAGCGCGCAGGTCCTGGCGGCCCAGCTTACATCTGTAGCGGTTAGCAGGTACGTGGGACGTGCGAAGCGTGTTCTTTTGGTGTAAATGTAAAAAGGACACAGGCGAATTTCGAAACATCAAACCAAAAGCGTGCTTTTATGGTGTGTGTCTGGGAACTTTTTATTGTTTTGAATTCTGATAGATTTACAATAAGCGTTTTGGATAAAAATGTATTAAATAAACAAATTATCAGTATGTCAGTCGTTTTAACCTGTCACATTAAAACAAGAAAACCGACAATTCCGATGCAGAAGTGGATGATTAAAACGCACCTATTAAAAATATTGCGCCAAGATGTAGGCAACACGTAATAAGGGTTCAAAATGGCGGAGTTTTCTATCTCCTTTTAAAAAGCACTCAGAAAGCTGCGCAGTGCGACCATTCTCCGTATAGTAAAAGAAAATCAAAGTATGTGGTGTATCCACATACTTTGATTACTATACGAGGCAAGAGAGAGGTCCGACACGCCCAACATAGGGCGCGGCCATTTTGTACCCTGTGACACAGTTTACAGCTAAAGAATCAGATCGCTCACTCTGAGTCGGTACTTTTGATCTCAATGTTTCAGTTTATACACTGCAACTCGGATAATACAATATATGACAACCCGCCTACAATAAAACAGCAGTCTTCTGCGTATCCTGAATTTGTATCCCTGGAGTGGATGTTATTTTGGAACTTTCAACTGGTCCGAGTGAGCTAACTGATTCTTTAGCAATAAACTGTGACTTCAAAAATAATATTCACTGACACTGACAGCAGCAAGCAAAATATCAGGTGCGTTTTAATCATCCGCTTCTGCTTCCGGAATTGTCGGTTTAGTCGTTTTAACCTGTCAGATTAAAACAAGAAAACCGACAATTCCGAAGTAGAAGCGGATGATTAAAACGCACCTATTAAAAATATTGCACCAAGATGTAGGCAACACGTAATAAGGGTTCAAAATGGCGGAGTTTTCTATCTCCTTTTAAAAGGCACTCAGAAAGCTGCGCAGTGCGACCATTCTTCGTATAGTAAAAGAAAATCAAAGTATGTGGTGTGTATCACAATAATAAACATTGGTAAGTTCAAGAAATTTAAATTTTTAATAAAAAAGTGCGTTTCCATTTAAAAATAAAAAATAAATAGCGATTTACTGTTATTTTCGAAAAACCAGAAGTAAGCTATGATGTCACAGATCAGTTGAAGCAGTATTCGACATTATTTATTTCAAGCTTTCAAAAAAAAAAAGTTGTCATTCCGATTTCTCAATTAATAAGGAATATAAGAGCGGGTGAAATTATTAAAAGGTTTGCAATAACAAAAATCTTAGATACGCCACTGGTACAATGTAAATGGGTCTTAATGGGAATTTTGAAGCTCACAAAAATGTTATACCTGCCCATATTTTTTTCCATAAACGAATTAACAGTAACATATTAAGAAATATATTATCCAATATGACGGTCATCTTGAGAGCTGACAAAAAATTTTCAACACACGTCACAGACCAATTGAATCCAGTATATGATAGTGTTTGTTCCAAGCTTTTACCCAAAAAAGTTTTTGTTCCAATATTTCAATTTACAACAAAGATAAAAGCGGATGGAATTATTAAACGGTTTGCTAATAATAAAAATGCTTAGATACGCCACTGGTAAAGGGTAAATGGGTCTCAATGGGAATTTTGAAGATAACAAAGATTTTATAAAGATCATACATTCCTATATTTTTTTTCATAAACGAATTAATAGTAACATGTTTACAACAAATATTATCCAATATGGCGGCCATGAAAAATTTCAATACACGATTATTATACAAAAATGTCCCAGAAATCCAAATTTACAATAAAAAAGTAGGTTTCAATTTAAAAATAAAAAATAAATTACGATATTCTGTTATTTCCGGAAAAACCGGAAGTAAGCCATGACGTCATAGAATAATTGAATCCATCGTAAGAAAGTATTTGTTCTACTCTTTCAAACAAGAAAAAAATTATTTCGATAACTCAATGAATAACGAAGATAAGGGGGGGGTGGAACTTTTAAGTGGCCCACCCTGTATATATATTAGTAAAATTATCATTTATCTTAAAGGCGTTATTAGATAGGGATATTAAAATGTTTGACAACAAATCTGCGATTAATAAATAACTAGCCACCGCCGGTATACGGTTGCGTGCTCGCGAATTTACTGCGTCCACCATTCGTGTATACAAAATGCGTCGCACGAGGCATTCGGTTCGGCCTCGGCTTGTCTTTGTATTAATTTTGCCTCTTAATCATCTGCATGATAAAAATAATTATTCATTTGGAAAGGGTGGTTTTACAAGTCATGTAATCCTACAGCATAATCCTCAGGATTGTGAGATGGTACGGATTTATTGTTAATTAGCATTCTTTTTTACTATGATTTTCAAGTGAAAGTTCCACATCATTCCATTACACTACCCATGTAGAGATTTATGTAGGAGCTTATCGGCTATAGAGTAAAGAGCAGTTAGATATTAAAAATTTATTTAAGGTTAAGAGGGACTTATCTCATGGAGGTCTACAATGTAACGAAAACACAGCTGCTCTTATGGCCAGCTACATAGTTCAAGCAGAATGTGGCGACTACGTAGCCGAAGACTATCCAGACCATACATATTTATCGAGCTACAAATTTGTACCACAACAAGACCAGGAAATGGAGAGGAAAATTATGGAGAATCACAAAAAACATACGTAAGTTTCTTAAGAAATATTTTTTTAGTTTTAATATCAAAATTGTTCCCAGTCAATAAAATAGACTACCACTAAAAACTAAATAGAGAGTTTAAAGTAAAAAAGAGGTTTTCTCGGTTTTGGTGTAAGAATGTCATATTCTCGCACGCAAAATCGTTGAAGAATGAAGCTCATTCTTAAACGATATTTGCTGACTTTTGTGACATTTCAGTTGACATTCACTACTTTGATAGTAAAATTTCACCTGACAGTTGGTTAATAACTAAGTGTTACCAAGTGACAAATTTTGCGAAAAAAATCTCCAACAACTACCACAAAAATAAATATATAAATATAAAAAAAACTGCAAATAAAGCCCAAAATAGAGAAAGTAGTATAAAACACACGTTGTAGAAGGCTATTCTCGCACTCATTCGTTCATCCACTCGCTTCTTCGTCGCTCGTGGCCAAATTTCGAATTCGTGCGGGAATATGTGGTCTTCTGCAACTTGTATTTTAATATACTATTCCCGAAGTAGTTAAAAATACTAGAAAAATTATAAAAATAATAAACAATTTTATTTATTATTTAGAGTCAGATTTTTCAATTTCTAAGTTTTAGCTCGATTAGGTTACTTTCACTCCTGCAAGTAGCTACTTGAAGAATTTTGTTTTTAATTTGCTTTTTTCCATAGGTATTAACAGTTGGATACATGTATTTTATTATCAGTATCTAATGTTGACGACTTTTCATTGTTTAAGTAATCGTCATGTAAAAAGGACCGTTTTGTATACCCTCGAGGGTATTTTGTTCCTATGACTATATTCCGGTGGTAGGAGGTGTCGTTACGCTGTCAAATTCAAAATAATATTTCATATCGATGGAGTTTTTTGTTTTTTGCTGGCGGTAAACGAAAAATATACGAGTAGATTAGCATGAGGCTAGGCATAGATCAACGTTGAAGAAAAAATCATGCGCAGCAGCATTGTCAAAAGTATCTAAGCGTTATTATTAATTCGATTCGAATTAGAAAAGCGGATGACCGGGGGAAATGACATACTAATGTAATATGTATATAACATCTAATGCGCAGTGCAAAACCAAAAAGACATTTTCATGTATATCCGTTATTATTGCATCGATTTGAACAATTTAAACTGTATTCTATGTGAACTGTCATTTACAGGTTAACGTGATTGCCAAAAGGACCTAAGCTTATAAAGTAGTGGGGGGTAAATAAAAGTACTTCAACTAACAACTACTTAAATTGTAATTGTCAGGTTGGTCAAGCGATTAAGGCGTCTAAAGTAGGTTCCGACCTCCGAAAGAAGCTGTCTATAAAAAAACGCACTGAAAGGCTTAGAACTGATCTCCGAGAGTAGGTGTGGGTTCGAATTATACACATGGCAATATTTTTTCTCTCTGTACAAAGTAAATAGGTGTTTTAGATCGACAACGTCGCATCTTGAAATGTAGTTCGTATAAAATTTGTTCTGAGAAATAAATTAAAAAATTGCAGTTAATACTCCTAGAAAAATAATTTAAGTGATTTTTCCAATTTCACCAGTGCATCTATCATCACAGTAAGTGTTTACAACAACTTTCTAAGTCTATTGTATTTTTTGATTTTTTTATTAATAAAATATTTCTTATCTCAATTATTGGAATATTTTAAAATACAAAGTTTGTATCTTTTTTCCAAATCAAAAATAATCATGGAAATTAAAGGAATATTACAGACTATAATAAATATTATGAGTCTAACAGAAAAATAATCCTGCAAAAATTTTTCCGATAATATGACAATAAATGAATTATATAATCGCCTAGTTCAAAACAATAACAAACTGCAGATATTACGGGAAAATAGATCATAGTATTGATCCACTGACAAATAAGTTAAAAGCAGCATATAAAAAAAATTAAATACTAGAAAATAACTGTGTCAGTCTGGAAAGAAAACTTCGAAGAAATAATATCGCAATTTTTGGCCTTGTAATAAAAGATTCCATACTCGAAAACACTTTGCAAACTTTGAATAAGCTACTGGGAATAAATTTAAATAAAAATGATATCAACTTTATAAGGGTTCCTAAAGAAGAACATGAGAAGCCAATTATCTATTGCCAATGATATGTGCTATCAAGATAGAATCGACTATAAAGTTCTTAAAAGACATCTAAATATTGCCAAAGATCAAAATCTGCCTGCTAAGATAAAGGGTAGAACTATTGAGACAAATGAAAATATTTACACAACCAACGATCTCCGTAAAATAGAAGAACAGTGTGAAACTAATAAAGGCATCAGATCTGATTCCGATTCCAACCGAGAAAGTGACCAGAGGGTAGAAACAAAACCGAAATCCAAAGGAAACGGGAAAATAAAAAGCATTATCTACAGCCCATGGAGCGTAAAGACTTAATAATTGTAACATGGAATGCCAATGGACTCCTTGACCATCGAGAAGAGCTGCAGGTGTTCCTAATAGAACAAAATATAGATATTTGTCTAATATCAGAAATGCATTTAACAAAACAAAGCTATATACAATTTAAAGGATACAAAGTCTATAATACTATACATCCCTCGGATACCGCTAGCGATGGAAGCGCTGTAATAATAAAAGAAAATATTAACCATTATGACGAGAATAAAATAGGAACAGAAGAAATCCAAGTAACAGCAGTTAACATAAAAACGAATACAGTTTCGCAGTCGGAGCAGTATATATCCCACAACAACATAATTTGAAAAAAGAAAATTACACAGAACTGTTACGACAAATGGGAGAAAATTTTATCTCGGGAGGTGATTTTAAAGCCAAAAATATCATCTGAGGCTCGAGATTAACAACCACCCAAAGGTAGGGAATTGCATACAGCTGCAAGTAAAATTGGGTGTGACTACCAGTCAACAGGAAAACCAACCTGTTGGCCAACCGACAGAAATAAAATACCTGACTTACTGGACTTTTACATCACTAGAAAAATACCCGGAAACTTTATTAAAATAGAAGAAAACTTTGGCTTAGACTCAGATCATTCCCCAGTGATAATGATACTAAGCGAAAATATAATCCAAAAAGAAATTAGACCCACACTGTGTAATAAAAAGACAGACTGGGCAATCATCATGGAACAATATACCAGAAATTACAAGAAAAAACGTAGGCAATTCATACCCTAGAGAAATAAAATAACTAATAAATAAGAAGAGAAAGGCAAGAAAAAATGACAAATCACCAGATTCCCTGAAGATAAAGTAGTTCTCAACAGACTAACTCAACAACTAAAACGAAAAATAATCACTATTAAAAATAAATCAATAGACACATACTTATCTCAGAAAATTGACGAACGATAAAAATACTGATTATTCTCTGTGGAAAGCGACTAGGAAACTCAAACGTCCAACAGTCCATATGCCACCAATAAAAGAAGACAACGGAAACTGAGCAAGATCAAATAAACAAAAAGCTGACATCTTTGCAGATCATATCGAAAAAAATTTTCAACCGAATGAAGAACGAGGACTCGATTTATTAAAACAAGAAAACACAAACATAGTAGAAATTCCTATGGTAACGCCTAAAGAGGTAGCTAAGGAAATCAAAGAAAATATCAATTCTAAGGAAGCACCCGGGTATGATCTGATTACAGGTGAAATACTAAAACAATTGCCAAGAAAAGCTGTGGTTAAACTCACTAATATAATAAACGCTGTATTTCGACTAGAGCATGTATCTAGCATCTGGAAAGTCGCTCAAATTATAATGATACCCAAACCCTAGAAAACCACCAAATGAAGTGAAGTTCTATAGACCTATATCCCTGTTAACATTTTTATCTAAACTTATCGAAAAACTTTTACTAAAAAGATTGAAACCACTTATAGACAGTAAAAATATAATACCTGACCACCAATTTGGATTTAGGAGCAAGCATTCCACTATTGACCAAGTCGACAGAATAACGAATGAAATAGAGAAAACACTAGAATAAAAGAAGATCTGCACCTCACTCTTTCTAGATGTAGCTCAGGCTTTCGATAAAGTATGGTTAGAGGGCCTTGAATATAAAATAAATAAACTTCTACCTAGACAATATTGTGACATCTTAAAATCTTACTGATAGAATCTTCCGAGTCAAATAAGAAGAATATTCCAAGCTTAAAGAAACTAAAGCAGGGATATCTCAAGGAAGTGTTCTGGGACCAGTTCTTTACCTGTTGTTTACCTCCGACATATCACAAACGCAAAATGTGAAAGTAGCCACATTTGCCGACGACACGGCCATACTTGTCACCGGTAAAACCATAGAAGATATAATACTAGAATATCATATTCTAATTCGGCGAAATATTTGGGAATGAACCTAGATATTAAATTAATGTGGAAAGAACACAAAGAAAAAACGGGAAGACTTGGGTATTAAATAAAGAAAATTATACTGGTTGATGAATAGAAAATCAAAATCAAAATTTTCAATCGAAAATAAACTTTTAATATATAAACAAGTACTGAAGCCAGTATGGACTTACGGCATACACCTCTGCGAGTGTGCCAGTAAAACTAACATAAATATAATACGTTTCCAGAACAAAATATTAAGGGCAATAGTAAACGCCCCTTGATATGTTAGAAACTCAGACCTACACAGATATCTGAGAATGCCTACAGTAGAAGAAGAGAGGAAAACCATCGCAAAAAAAAACATGAAAAAAGACTGCATGATCATGTCAATATCGAAGTTCTACAGTTCCTGGACAACCGATACCTAATGAGAAGGCTCAGAAGGACCAAACCATTTGAATTAGTGATGTGAAAGTGTGTTAAAGCAGAGAACAGTGCGCGTGTGCAGTGTATAGTTATCAGAACAGAAAGAAGAAGATACCATTGGGTGAACTCTTAGTTTTAAGCCTCTTAAGTTTACTTAAGTTTATAATAAAGACAAATTGCTGGTTGGCTGAAATATAGCTAGGTGCAATGCAAACTAACAAAAAAAAAATCTACAGCTCA